GAGGCCCTGGCCACACACGGGAAGCACAGGTGCTGGAAGCAATCAGGCAACACTCGGGCAGAGCCTATGGTTTGAACTCCCCATCCCTCTCCCCCCAAAATTAAAAGGCAAAAATCCACCCCCATAATAACCACCCCGACACGCGAAGCCGTTTACTAAACGCCCCCACTGAAAGAATCGAACAGGGCAGGGCTGTTTAGTAAACGCCCAAGGCCGTTTAGTAAACGCTAATTGTCCGGTCTGGGTGGTTTATCCTCCCTTGACATGCAGAGTTGGTCTCGGATCTTCCGAGTTTGGGCTGCCAACCTTGAACTGCGGGGGGGATGGGGGGGGAGTGTTGCTCAATTTCTTCCCTCACCCGCATGCTGGGCTTCCAAGACATGGCGGGGCTGCCTTCCTGGAGGGCCGCTCATCCCCGCCTTGCAGCCTGGCGGCGGACCGACGTCTTCCATCCGCGGGGCCCAGAGGACTGCGACCCCTTCCCCGAGGCCAGTCGCTCATCCTGGCTCGTTTGCTTCGACGACCTGGGCCACCTGACCTCGCGCACCGCATCCCGCGATGCGCGACGCGCGACTCCCGTCGCGCCATCGCGCCGCCCCCAGTGGAGAAACCAAAAGGTACCGATACCGCTACTCCCCGGACCTCTCCTGGGGTGCGTTCTGCCCAGGATTTCGAGGCGGTGGCGACGACAGAGGCCCAGGAGGCCCAAAAGGAAGACGAGGGGAGGGCAAAGGCATGGGTACCTTTTCGTCCTCCGACCCAGAAGGCAGGGGCAACCATTGTGGCCCAGGCCGCGACGCGCGATCATCAGGCAAAGCACCGTGGTTGAACAAACGCGCGTGTCTTTCTGTTCCGCGATGACGGGCGTCACGGGGCGGGTGGGCGGGGCACGACGTAACGCCCCCGCCCGCCGTGCGGATCCGCCACCACAGACGCGCCCGCGCGCACGACGCGACGAGCGACGAGCGACGATGACTGCTCTCAAAGCAGGCTGCCGGGCAGCCTGCTCTGGAAGCGGGCTGCCCGGAGGCCCGGGCCTGCGGCGCTCCCCGTGCGCCCCCCGAGGGCCTTGTCCGCGGTCCAGGCCACGCAGACCAGCACGTAGGTCGGCACGGAGCTGTACCTGTCCTCCAGGGCCACCGGCTGCCCGGCAACGGCTGGCGCCTCGGGCCGCGTGCACTCCTGACGAAACCAGGACGAGGATAAAAGCGGGTGAGGATACAGTGGAGGCCAATCCATAAGAAACCTTCCCACAAGAAACCCAATCCTGAGACCCCAGGGCGTCCATTAATTTTTGGTGTGGGAACGTCACGCTTTCCGCAGAAAAACAATCGAAACCTAAGAAACCTGGGGCGCCCTGGAGCCTGGAGGCAAGCAAGGTGTTTCTTAGCATGGGTCTCCACTATAAATCGAAAATCCCCGAGATCCGGCGGCCGCGTTCCCAGAACGCTCTGAGAGCGCTCCGGCACGCTCTGGGACGGACTTACCGTGTGGGCCTTCGTTAAGGAATGTGCCCAGGGGGCTTCAGGCCTTGGAGGATTCCTTATCTCATGAGGCCGGCAGTGATACCCATGGTCAATCCACGATTGGCGTTCCACCAGCCTCCAGACCCTGGAGATCCGGCGACCCAGAGCAATCCAGGAACGCTCTGAGAGCGCTCCGGCACGCTCTGGAACGGAGGAGGAGGAGGAGGAGGAGGAGGAGGAGGAGGAGGAGGAAGAGGAGGAGGAAGAGGTGGAGCTTATCCTCGTGCTATAGCCCTGTCCGATCCTCCGTCACGTGCCGGTACACGGCGGCGCTGCTGGCGTCCTGGCTGGCGAAGTACGGCGTGGGGTGGGAGTCCTCGGCGGCGCGGGCAGAAAGCGCCGCTGCCGAAGCTTTGGGGGGTCGCTCCTGGAACTGGACAAGCGCGTTCCACACCAGGGGGCCATGATGATGTACCACTCTTTTTCCCGGCAAGTCTGGGCTCTGAAACGGGGGTCGAGTTATAAGCTCAAGCACATTGGGAGACATGTTAATACCCTTCTCCAGCTCCGCTGCCCAGGAAGGATGTTTTATATATTGCGGAAATTTCACCTTCCTTCCCCACGCCACGTTGGCTGGGGCCGCGCTGCACTACTCTCAAAATAACTGCTCGCAAAAAGCCTGGATCTGCCCTGGGGGATCTGCGATACCTCACACCTCGAGGTAGACGTGCGTTCGTCGGGCGCTTGCGAGCAAGCCCTCTGCGAGGTTCGCGGAGCGCGCCCGGTGAGGCGCAGCTCTCGTCGCCGCGGCCAGGGCGCGTCGCGGAGAGCTGGCCGGGAGGGGCCCGGAGAGAGAGGCTCCGGGCTGGCTGGCTCCTCGGGGGCCCGGAGAGAGAGGCTCCAGGAGGCGCGGGATCCGGGCTGGCCGGCTCCTCGGGGGCCCGGCCTGGCGGCGTGGGGCTTCGGGGGTGGCCGCACGGATTTGGGGCTCCGTTCGTTCTCCAAGGACGTCTCGGGCGACTTGGGCATCGGTCCCAAGAGGAGGAGGAGGAGGAGGAGGAGGAGGAGGAGGAGGAGGAGGAGGAGGAGGAGGAGGAGGAGAAGGAGGAGGAGGAGGAGGAGGAGGACATGCGGTGGCGGACCGTGCGGTGAGGTCTTCGGGGATGCCGAGGTCACGGCGCGGACTGCCACCGCACTGGCTCGGGGTCCCCAACCAGTCTTGCGCGGATCTCGGTCGGCGGCGGGGAGAGAGGGGCGGCCTTCTGAGAGGGCGGCGGAGCTTCTCGCAGGGCCCAGGAGCTTCCCAGAAGGCCCCCCGGAGGGCTCCCAAAGAAGCCTCGTGTCCTCCTGGAGGGCAGCCCCCCCGGCCGCAGCCTCAACCAGAGCCTACTCACAAGTGGCCCCTGGCATCGGTCGAACGGCAGGGTTGAATAGCAAAGGAGGGCCAGCGAGTCAGCTCACGCAGCTTGGGGGTCCCAGAACCACGTGGTGAAAGACCGCGCGGTGACCTCGAAATCTCGAAAGATCCCACCGCACGGTTCGTCACCGTGCCGCTTTGGGACCTCGGAGGCCCCTGTCGCCCGAGACGTCCTCGGAGAACGACCCAAGTCCTAAAACCGTGCGGTCAGCCCGAATCCACACTGACTCACCACACGGTGTAGTCGCCACACCGTCTGGGCCATCCCGAGCAAGCTGGCTTCTCCAGCGACCCACGGCGCCAGAGGCCCCCACGCTTCGAGGAACGCGCACAGCAGTGAGGCCAAAACCACCTGCACGCAGCAGACTTCGTACCCCTCCCTCCTCCTACCCTCAGGTCAGGCGTGTCCCCCTACAGGCGGATTTTGGACGAAAAAGCAAAAATATTCAAACAAATATTCCAAAAATGATTAAAAAATAAAGAAAATCGTCCCCAGACTATTTTTTGACTATTTTTGAATATTCCTCCTGTAGAGGGACAGGCCCGACTTAACCCTACCCTGGGCAGACGAAAAAATACCGATACCTCCACTCCTGGACCTCTCGGGGGGTCCAACCTGACTCCAGGATCTCGCGGCGAATCCAGCCCCTTGGCGACGAGAGGTCCTCCAGGGAGTCCCAAAAGGCCCCCTCCCCCTCCCCCGGGGGCGTCCATGGAGGGGGGCGTCTGACAGAGGGGGGTTCGCAAATTGTGGCCCGAGGCACGTGCGCGGCCCGTGGGGCGGGGGGCAGGGGGGACGGACTGAAATAAGAAGGGGCGCAGTGAAATCTGGGGAGATATCATGGCCCTGGCCCTACAAGTCGCGTCGCCATCCAGCCCCCATCCACCCTTCCATGCAACCTTCATCATTCCTACCCCCATCCACCCTCATCCTTCCAAACGTCCATCCCTCCATCCAGCTTCCGTTTATCGCAACCGGGCCGATTACACCCTCGTTTTCCTCGTCCTCCCCTTCGTGCTTCTCCTCGTTACCTTCCCTCCTCTCTCCTCCGCCCTATTCCTTGTTCCTCCTCCTCCTCCTCCTCCTCCTCCTCCTCCTCCTCCTCCTCCTCAGCCTCTCTCCATCCCACTGTCCACCCTCCGCTCCATCCAGTTGCGCACCACCCCACCCATCAATACAGCATGAGCGCCTCCCTCCATCCAACCTCATCCCTCCATGACGCCTTCATCCATGCCTCCCGCCCTCCTCCACCCCTTCCGCATCCATCATCCATCTCGCTACCCCCCCCCACGGACGCCTCTATCCATCTAGCCTCCCGTCATCATCACGGATCCTCTTCGTCAATCCCCTCCTACTCATCCTCCTCATCCTCCTCATCATCGTCCTCCTCCGCATCATCATCATCATCATCATCATCATCATCATCATCATCATCATCATCATCATCATCATCATCATCATCATCATCATCATCATCATCATCATCATCATCATCATCATCATCATTATCATCTTTACTCTCCTCCTCCTCCTCCTCATCCCACCGTGCCTGCCCCTCATCCTCCTCGTCCTGTTCCTCCTGCTCCCCCCCTTCTCCCCGGCCCAGCCCCCATTACCGACAGAAGCAAGAGCGCCCTGTGAAGGCTCGTCGCCCCCCTCGCTGGTGACCGCTGCAGCGCAGAAGGCACGCAAGAACTGTAACATCGCAAAAGTGGCCGCCACCGTGCCTTCCAGTTAGCTTTCTGGTAAAAGGGATGCCTGTGTGCTGTCTGGTCAGGGAATGCACGTGTGCTGTCTGGTCAGGGAATGCCTGTTAGCTGTCTGGCTTGGTGATGCCTGTTGGTTGTCTTGTAAGGGAATGTCTGCGTGCTGTCTGGTTAGGGAATACATGTTGGCTGTCTGGTTGGGTGCTGCCTTCTGGCCTCCTGGATGGATAGGACGACGATGATATTTCACACGGCGGAGTGGGAAACGCGATAATACCCTGAGCTGAAAGATGTGTCGTTGGCAAACAGCAGCAAACATAACGAAAGACGGGGTTCCGCCGCCCCCACCCCGCCCCTCCAAAATTGACACCGAGAGCGCAATCGTCTGCGATCCGCGCGAGTGTTCCAATTGCCTCTCAACTTTGAAGGGGGGGGCGGGAACTGCGTTGATCAACTTTGAAGAAGGGGGGGCGGCAGATGCGCCTCCCAATTTTGGAAAGGCCGCCGCCGCGTCAGGTGAATCATCACCCCCTTCCTGGCCGCCCATCAGCTACACGCAAGAGTGACCCGACCCTGCGTAAGAGTGACGTTTGGTGCGCGGCTTGTTTGGGGCCGCGGGGTGACTAAACGCAAGCGCGCAAGTCGCTACTTTTGCAGCGCGTTCGGCGATCGGGGAACCCCAATGGGCGCGCACCAAAGGTCACTCCGGCGAGGAGTCACTTTTACGTGCCGTCGAGCCCCCAGCTCCCGCGGCCTCCCGACCTCCCCGCACCCGGGGACGCCCACGTATTCACACAGGGGAACCCACGGCGGCGAGGCCGAAGCCAGCTACAGGACGCAGACTTTGCACCCCCCCCCCCTGCCGTGCAGGTCTCGAAACAAACATCTCCCAATACCCCTCCAAGGATCACTCTTGGCGGTGGATTGAACGAGTTGCGCTTCGACCGCAGTCTTCCCCGCGCGTGCCAACTCTGAATTTTGGGGAGAGGGGGGAGTGCCCACTACGGCCGAACCCAGGAAAGAAGAACATCCTTCAAGAACGTGAGACCCACCGCTGGCCCAAATGCCCCAAACCATAAGATCACTCGAGGGTACCCTCCCCCAGGACGCACAAGAACATCACAAAACAACGAAGAACGCGAGGCTACCCTCCCCGAACCAGCCTCGACCTTATACCTCGGTCCTACCGAACTTGCTTCCCTCCGCCGTCCGACCCGAGGGACCCCTCCCGAGGCCCGTGCCGACCAGCTCTCTCCGAGCCGCGTCTGGCCGCGGCGGCGAGAACCTCCACACTCCGCCGAAAACCTCTGAGGCGGCGCCGCCGGCGACGGCACAGTCGCCCGCGCGCCGCCGGGGTCCGTCGGCTCCGAGGCCACCCACCACGTCTCGAAGTCGTTGGAGGCGAGCAGCACGGGGTACGCGGTGTGCTCGAAGCCTGGCGCGCTCAGCTCGACGTCCACCTGGGGCGCGATTGTTGGCATGCCGAGTCGTCAAGATGACCCCGGCATGATGTGCCAGCCCTCAGGCCGGCGCGTGCCCAAAGCCGTTTCGGGCCCGATCGATCTGTACGGATCCTGGGGCCCTGTGCCATGTGGTGTGGTAGTTGTCGATCACCTGCTCTGGAGTGACGCCGTTATGCCTTGTGCGCATGGTGACGTGGTCCACCTCAGGGGTGACGCCGTCGCGCCTTGTGCACATGATGACGTGGTCCATCATCATGCCGTGGTTCCGAGCTGGATCGATGCGTGAGGATCCCGGGGCCCCGTGCCATGTGGCGTGGTGGCTGGCGATCGCCTCCTCGGGGGTGGCGCCGCCGTGCCTTGTATGATTGCTGGCGGCTGCCAACCTCTGCCTCTGAACCTCTTGCACCAGGAGAGCCAGCACGCCCAGGAGGCAGCGTCGCCTCGGCAGGCGCGGGCCGCAGGGACCTCCCGCGGGTGCCCAGGGCCAACGCGTTCCGCTGGCCAGGGAAGGGCCTGCGGGGGACGGGGCCCCGCGCCTGCCCGAGAGATCCCCGCGGGCGTCCGAAGGCTTGCCATGTCCTGTTGCCTCTTGCGCTCTACGTCCGCCTCTCGCATGATTGTCGGCGGGCCGGGTCGTCTGGATGGCCCTGCAAAGGCTGCTTCACCGGCTGTTGAACTACGGCTTCCACGCGGGTGGCGCGTACCTCCTCTGCACAGGCATGAAGTTCCCAGGCATGCCCTTCCTAGGCATGCCGTGCGTGCGCCGGCCCTCAGGCTGGCGCGTGCCCTGTGCTGCTGTCGACGTCCACCTCTCATTTTTTCCTGCGATTCCAACACGGGGCCCAGAGGGACGGGACCCGAAGGATTTGGAGGGCTCCCTGGCTGAATCGAAGATGTCTGGGGCCCCAGCGCCTTGGGGCACCATGCCACAGATGGTGAGGCCTCGCCCACAGACAGCCCCCCAAGGTAGTCTTGGCTGGCCTCATCAAGCCCCCTGGGTAGTCCAAGGCGGTTTCAACACCCCAACGCGCGCAAAGCGTCTCGGTGTTGAGACCGTCCTGGGCTACCCGGGGGGCCTGCTGAGGTCAGCTGGGACTACTGGGCCCATAACCACAAGAGTACGAATCGAGCTCTGATCTCTTCTGATTATCTCCGACCCAGGTATTGCACTTGCACGCGGGGGCGCCCGAAATTTCACACGAACACCCTCTCAGCATTGAAGAAGGCTCTTTACGACAAGCGCCCGAAGGTGCCGATTCCTGCGTGATTGAGCCGCGTGTCTGAATTTTGGCGCAGACATCAGCGTTTGCACGTCCGCGCGGACTTCCTGTGCCCGCGTCGGGCCCATAGGTCCTCCACGCACCCCTTCCCGAGGCGCGCCCCGCGCGCCCCTGGGGAAGGGGGTCCAAAACGCCGACGCAAAGAAGTTCCTGCGGATCTCTGAAATCACTGTTTTTGCATCATGTTCGATCCGTCTGCTTGATCTTCCGTGTCCACCTGAAAATTCACCTCGCTCGTGACATCCGTGCCGCTGGTGCCGCAGGCCGTGTTGCAGGCCTTGCTCGTCATGGGTATGTCCTCGGCCAGGGCAGCCAAGCGCCAGAAGTGAGAGAGGCTGGCGGGGAGACCGATCACTCCCTGGGGGCAGGATCGAGCACCGCAAGAGCGCGGGCCACCGCGACTCCTGCAGGTCCACGTCGCGATGCTGTCTGCGTTGGCTCCAGACACCGCGTGGATCGCTCAACCTTGACCAGCCGCGGCTTTTCGACAGCGCAAACCTTTCGATGTTAAGAAAGGAAAAAATAAAAAACAAACAAAAACGGCGTAAACTTAAACTTTTGGCGCGCGGATTCCTTGGATCTGCGCTGGACCCTCTCTGGCGCGCGGAGCGCGCCAGGGGCGGCGCCGGAGGCGCCGCAAGGGGGGCCCCAGCGCGGATCCAAGAAATCCGCGTGGATCGCTAAAAGTTTCTGTTTATGGCGTTTTCTTTTCGAATATCTGCCGAGTCCAAGCCACTGGCGGCGTTCCTTGAGAACGCCCGCGCCGGGTTCGCCGACGCGCGCCAACACGGCGCGCGAATCTACCGCACGACACATCCCTCAGCGAGAGCAGGCAAGCTCGATTTGTTCGGCGACGTGGCGGCGCCCCGAAGCCCAAGTTCCACATTCTTGCCGAAACTGGCGAGCGTTTTCCAATTCGGCGTTTCGACACTGGGCCGAAGGGGGGAGGGGAGGGGGGAGGGTCTGGCTCTGGACCTCTGCCTAACGCGACTGCTTGCAACCTGCTCGAAACAGGCGCCCCAAACAGCCAATATCTACTCCATGGGGAGGGTGGGGATGCGAGGGCCCGCGCCGATCGGCAGCACACTGAATCAGAAAACGATCGCCTGGCGACTGCCATTTTTTTGCTCGGACTCCGCGGGCCGCCTGGCGCGCGTCGCTGAACATTTAACTTGCAAGGCCCTCCTAAATGGCAGATGGGATCCGAGTGGATGGGGTCGGAGGATCGTGCCGACGTCGCCGATGCATCGCCGATGCATCGCCGATGCATCGGCGAAGTCGGCGATGCATCGGCGACGCTGGCGTGGATATGATCGGGCTCCACATCGAGCCGCATCGCCGATGCATCGCCGATGCGGCGCAAGCCTCCGACCCCATCGAGAAGTCCCAGAAGTTGAGGGGCGAGGGGGCTGGATAAAAGCTTGCGTTTGACTTGGCGGAGGATTGTGAGTCACCCCTTTTCGAGCGCGGCGCCGCGCGACGCTCGGCGCGGTGCTCTTCTTCGTGCTTGGCGCCGCCCCCCTGGAGACCCAAACCTCTGGCGGATTAGCTCTGCTCAATCCGCCAGGCTCCCAGACGTCTCCACCCTCGTCGCGGATCCACTTCTGATGGCCCCGAGGCCAGCATGCGCTCCCCAGAAGCCAGCATCTCTGGGTGAGGGCAAGCCATACCTGAGGGATTGAGCAGTTCCGCTCACCGAAATCTGGGGGCGGGAACACGCTCGTCCTCGCCCTGCTCCTCCTCCTCCTCCTCCTCCTCCTCCTCCTCCTCCTCCTCATCACCATCACATCACCATCACCATCACCATCACCACCACCACCACCACATCATCATCATCATCATCATCATCATCATCATCATCATCATCATCATCATCATCATCATCATCATCATCATCATCATCATCATCATCATCATCATCATCATCATCATCATCATCATCATCATCATCATCATCATCATCATCATCATCATCATCATCATCATCATCATCATCATCATCATCATCATCATCATCATCATCATCATCATCATCATCATCATCATCATCATCATCATCATCATCATCATCATCATCACCACCACCACCACCACCACCACCACCACCACCACCATCATCATCATCATCATCATCATCATCATCATCATCATCATCATCATCATCATCATCATCATCTGTTTCGTTTTCTTCTCCATTCTGAGAGCGCCTCTTCCTCCAAAGTGAAGGTCCGACCTCTCCAACGCAAGTCTTCCCTACACGCTCCCCTCCGGCTTCCGCTGCCCCCACGTCCGACATGGAGACGCGGTAGTCGGCCTGGGTGTTGCCCCTGATGAAGTCCGCGTCCACGAGCACGGGGAACGCGGGGTACGTCGGGTTCCACTTCTCCTCTACAGATTTTTGCTTGGGAGGCGCTCTCGTGGGGCTCCCCGTCGCCTCGAATGACTGGGCGAAAGATCGAAGATCTGGTGACGACGTGCTCCCTGGACCAAGAACGAGACGACACCACCCCACCTACGGCACGACGGCGTTGGAATTTCAAGCACTTGCCCCGCGCAGCCTCTGCTTGTCATCGCGAAGACCCCGCAGTGGCGTCGGGGGGCCACCGCGCCACGCCGGCGCCGAAAGCCACCCGAGGGAGCTCCCAGAGGAGCCCGGCATCCTCGACGCCGACGCCCTCGCCTCGGGGGTCTCGCGCTCGCCTCGCTGAGCCGCGCCTCCCCTGGCTGGGCGGCGCTGCCGCCGCTCTCTGGTCGGAAAGCGTCGCCCGGACCCCGCATTTTTGCGACCCGCGGTGGCGCCCGTGACTGGCCCCGCCCTCCCGCCCCTCCCTCCCCCCAAAAATAATTCGGCGGCGAGCCCGGGGGGGAAGTGAGAAGGATACTGCCTTCTCAAGAGGCTCGGAAGTCTTCCTGCCTTCTGAACATGTTTCGAAGCCTTCCCCGAAAATACAGAAAACCTCTCAGAAGGCGCGAGGGCTTCTGAGAGGTCCCGCCACCTTCTGAGGCCTTCTCTGTCACGATTTGCGCCTGCGCGGTGCGGGAATGAGCCACGCCTCAGCACTCCGAGGCGGCGCTGGCGCGACTGGTGGCGTGACCAGCCCCTCCCTCCCCCCCCCTCCCCCCCGGTCACGCCCGTTGTTCAATCGTCCTCAGAACGTGCGTTAGCGCCAACGTGTGTTTGTCCACCAAGGCCCTTCAATACGACGCAGGCGGCGCAACGAGGGCAGCGACAAGCTGCGCGCCATCGGCGGAACCGAACCGGGGAAACACACGCTTGGGCTAACACACGTCCTACGGACTACAGGCCTCGGAGCAAATTAGCCAACACTCATGCCACATTCATCGATCAACGCCACCCCCTCCCCCCAATGCTCAAAATTGGCGGTGGGTCTGATGAGTTGTACTTCGACCGCAGTCTCCTCCGCGCGTGCCAACCCTGAATTTTGGGGAAAAGGGGGAGTGTCCATTAATCGTTTTCCTTCTACCGTATGGAGCCATCGCTACGAGATAAGACTCGGCCTCCTGTCCAGAGGAAAGACGGCATGCCGATACTGTTCGGAGACTCCGAAGGGGTGTGGTTTGCAAAGGGTGTGGCTTGCAGTGGCCAAACTGGGGGGCACCCTGGGGGGGCGGGCGGAGACCTCGATCTAGAGCTCTCTTCCGCACCTCGAGGAGGCCCGACGAGGAGAGTCTCGTGCTCACCAGGCCCCAACGGTGCTGATCGCAAACCACACCCTGGCTAGAAGAAATACAAAAACGCCATAAGCAAAAACTGTTGGCGCTCCGCGCGGATCTCTTAAATCTGCGCTGGGCCCTCTCCCTGGCGCGCGAAGGGTGCGCCAGGGGCGGCGCCGAAGGCGCCGCCAAGGGGGGGGCCCAACGCGAATACGAGAAATCCGCGCGGAACGCCACCAATTTATGTTTACAGTAGGGGCTCGACCGCAAGAAACCTTCCACAAGAAACCCAACCCTGAGACCCCAGGACGTCCATCGTTTGTTGGCGTGGGAACGGCGCGCTGTTCATCGCAAAACCATCGAAACCCAAGAAACCGAGGGCACCCTGGAGGCAAGCAGGGCGTCTCTTGGCATGGGCCTCCACTGTATGGCGGGGCGGGGGGGGGCGGGGAACGGCGGCATCGGACACCACCGAGGCGCAACGCTCAGGGGGGGGGGACTGGCACAGCAACACTCATGCAGAATATTCACGTGGTTCGAACTCCGCCCCAAATGCAATGCTGGTTTCGGATCTTCTGATTTTGGGCATCCGAGTGGTCTTCAAGGCACGTGCCAACTTTGAACTGCGAGGGAGGGGGGCAGCGTTGCTTACTTTCTTCCCTCAACCGTACATCGCCGATAGATCGGCGATAAGGCCCCGATAGTGAATCTTAGAGAGTCCGCACGCTCCCTGGCAGGCTAGGGCCATCGGGGCCCCCATCGGCGATCCATGGGCGATGGGGGGTCGATGCACTGCATGCCCCCCAATGTTTAGGTCGGGCATGTTCCCCTACGAACTTTGGACGAGCGATTAAACATTTTAAGAATCTAAACATGCTCAAATTAGTCAAAACATCGTCCCCAGAGCATTTTTTTTGACTACCTTTGAATATTCCTCCTGTAGAGGGACAGTCCCGACTTAATCCAGTGCCTATGCCCCCGATCGCTGGGTCCGCCAGCCCACAGGGGAAACAGGACGATAAGTGGGCTTCGGGGGCAGCGATCGGGGGGATAGGCACTGGATCAAGTCGGGCCTGTTCCCCTACAGGAGGAATATTCAAAATAGTAAAGAAATACTCTGGGTACGATTTTTGTGTCTAATTTTTGAACATGTTTGAAGGTATCTTCAATTTTTCGTCCAAAATTCGCCTGTAGGGGGACATGCCCGACCTAAACCTCCCTGCATTGGTATCGGTCCTTGGGGGGGCCATCTGATGTGGCGTACCTTCGGAGGCCTTTGGGACGCTTGTTCCCCCATCTCCAACGGCAGCGGGCTCGTCAGCATCCACTTCAGGAACAGGGGGAACACCACCATGAACATGGCGAACACCAGCACGAAGCACCAGTAGCAGACGCCGCCCTTGCCCTTGCCGCACCGCATGCGCAGGGCCCAGCAGAAGGAGGGGCCGCCCTCGACCTTGCAATCCGACGACGTGGAACATCCAGACCTCCTAAGTCTTGCTTCTTCAACGTGTTGTTTTAATGCTGAGCCATTTTCTTAGGACCCCAGGGCCTGAAAGCGGCCTCCAGACGCCAGAAACGACAGACAAACTCCGCCTTGCATTCTTCAAGACGTTGGAGGTCTGGAAGCACGTCGTGAAAAGAACACGCCAGAGTGTTCCAGCCACATCGCTGCGCTTGCTCCTCCAGACCGCATCGGTCCGCGGAGGTCCAGGTGGCCCGAAGCGGGGCAGAGCTCCAGGGGCCTCCAGGATGGAGGTAACACCTCTCGAACATCAGAAGCAAACAAAAAACCCGAGAGTGGACGCCGAATATCATTTCTGCAGGCCCCGGATGGGCGTGCACATGCCTTCCTGACGAAGCCTCCCCGATCGCCAACCGCGCGGTCCGCAGAGGGTCAGCCGCGGGGACAAGAACGTCAGCACAGAGAAGCTGGAAAAGATGGAGGCTGAAAATTTGGTAACGATCGAAGTCACCACGGCTGGCTGGGGCCGAAACGAACTCAGAGCATCTGCAGTCAACCCGTATCATAAGGACACGCGGTAAAGATGCAAGGGCCCTGGACGGCCTAGAAACGTTAACTTGGCCGTCCAAGGCCCTTGCATCCTTACTGCGCGTCCTTATGGCACGGGTTGACTGTATTTCGGCGGGACGGAAGTTTTGACGAAGTGGCCGAGGCTGGACCGAGTTGGCAAGGATGCAAAGGGTACCCTTGGGAAGGCTGCCCATTCTCACCATGCGGGTTCCTTTTGGAAGGTGTGGTGGCCAGGGCTGGGCACAACTATGGGAAACCTGCCAGGGCCAGCAGAAGTGGAAAGGGCCAGAAACAGCACTCGTGCCAGGGTCCCAGTGCCGCCGTCCAGGGGCCCTCGTCGAGCCCCAGCTGCAAGACGGGGGGTCCTGCAGGCCTGAGCTGGATCGAATCGCGAAATCGGATCGGATCGTCGGAAGCGGATCGGATCGCCAGCGAATCGCCCCGAACCGAATCAGCACCGGGTCGCCGCACCCGAGCCGGTCTGGCCCCGGCCGATGCCGGCGCATCGAGCCGAATCGAATCGGATCGGAACCGCGGCCCCAGCTGGCGAATCGAATCGCATCGAATCGGATCGCAGGTGTCCCGAATCATCGCAACAACGGAGCACACCTCGGACGTCTTGGAGAAGTCGGAGCGGAGGTCCTTCACAGCTTCCAGCCTCCGTGGGGCCCGGGAGCCGTCCAGACATTTTTTTTGGTCGCGGGCTCGGCGAACGCTCAAGTCGGCACAGCTGGATCGGGATGCGAAACAGCGAGGCGACCATGCACACGTGATTCGGGATGGCAAACCGTCCCTGGGAAGCGGTCCAGGGATCCGGAGGCAATCACGACATCGGATGCATAGGGATGTGCCAAGAACTGAAAGAGCATGCTTCCTCCACTGCACTCCATGGGTCTCCTCCGCGGACGTCCCTTCAAGACCCACGAGGTCCTCAGCAGCTTTTGTAGGGGCCCAGGAAGCCTCTGGATGCTCCCGGGAGGTCCCACAAAGAATCGATACGGACCGAATGCGAATGACAACCTCCCTCCTGCAACTCCCCCTCCTCCTCCTCCTCCTCCTTCTCCTCCTCCTCCTCCTCCTCCTCCTCCTCCTCCTCCTCCTCCTCCTCCTCCCCCTTCTCCTCCTCCTCCCTCCTCCTCCTCCTCCTCCTCCTCCTTCTCCTCTCCTCCTCCTCCTCCTCCTCCTCCTCCTCCTCCTCCTCCTCCTCCTCCTCCTCCTCCTCCTCCTCCCCCGCCTCCTCCTTTCTCCTCCTCCTCCTCCTCCTCCTCCTCCTCCTCCTCCTCCTCTTCCTCTTCCTCCTCCTCCTCCTCCTCCTTCTCCCGCTCCAGTCCTGTTCCTTGCAGATAACGCCTCCCTATCGCACTCCGAGACCGGTCGAAAGGGCGGGCCGGGCGTTTCGCCTGAGACTTCCTCACCATCTATCAGCCTAAAGCTAGAAAACTGGCAACAACTTCACATATGGAGGGCGGATGGTTTTCAACATGCGGCTCTCGCCTTATCGCCGCGCACAACCGTTTTAAACTTTGGAAAAGTGCTTCACGGATTTCGGGCGGGACGTTTTCAAAATGTGGCTCTCGCCTTAGCGGCGCGCGCATTGTTTCTAAAGTATGTAATATCTTCACGGATTGAGGGCGGGTCGTTTCTTAAAAGTGGCTCTCGCCTTAGCGGCGCGAGCATTGTTTCTAAAACATGTAATAGCTTCACGGATTGAGGGCGGGTCGTTTTCAAAATGTGGCTCTCGCCTCATCGTCGCGCACATTCGTTCTAAACATTTGTAAAAGCTTCAAGGATTGAGGGCGAGCCGTTTTCAAAATATGGCTCTCGCCTCATCGTCGCGCATGTTCGTTCTAAACATTTGTAATAATTTCACGGATTGAGGGCGGGCCGTTTTCAAACTGTAGCTCTCGCCTTAGCGCCGTGTACATTCGTTTTCAACATCTGCAAGAGTTTCGCGGAT